GCCTCCAACCTCTAAGAGCGATGGCCTCCAACCTCTAAGAGCGATGGCCTTCAACCTAGTAGCGATGGCCTCTTCTAGTTTTTTTGTTCTTTCTTTGTTTCCTTCCTCAGCTGAAGAGCCCCCTGCCATGCCTCGAGGTCCAGGCCATTGCATTGGCTCAAATCCCAAGAGAGGAGTTTCGACTCCGGGGCGATGCCGTTGCCCTGTTTCGAGAAGCTGGGAGCCGGACCTTGGAGGATGGAAGTCCTGTTTCAATGCGATTCTGGAATGAAGTTGATTGGGGTGAGGTGAAGAAGTTGGAAAGCCGCTCACTGGTACTTGTTGATCACAACAAGATGACTGATCAAGTGGCTGCACACTTTGAGGGCCGAGTAACACAAGTTTTAGATCACCACGCTGGTGGTGTATCATATCCAAAGTCCAAAGGCCCAGAGCATCATTGATGAGAGCTTGGGATCCTGCTGCTCCTTGGTGGTAGAGCAGTTCATGCAGACGAAGGGTTCCAATCTTACAAAAGAGTTGGGCACCTTAATGGCTGGTGCTATTTTACTCGACTGTCGAACTTTGATCCAGCTGCCAAGAAGGGCACGAGCCGTGACCAAGCTGCGCTAAGACACCTGGAGTCGAGACTCGATGTTCCTTCCAAAGACCCAACTCGGTGGTACAAGGAACTCATGGACGCTCGCAAGGACGTGTCTCATTTGACCGTGCGAGATTTGATGCTGCTGGATACGAAGGTCGTAACCCTCCGTGGTATGAACGTTGCTGTTGCCAGCATTTTCAGTACCATTACAGAGGTTTGTGCCAGGGCTGGGACATCCGCTCACGTGGCAGAAATTGCAAAGACCCTAGCTGCAGAACGAGGGTATAGTGCAATCATTCTACTTTTCAGCAAAGACAAGTTGATGGGCAAGCGAAGAGCTTTGGCCTTTGTACCGCTGGACTCCCCTTCGTCCGAGTTGTGCGAAGACATTGCAAAGCAGATGTCTGAGACTCCTGGGAATTTACCCCAAGATCTGCGAGAAAATCCCTTGTACCAAACACAGGGGCTGGTGGAGACTGGCTTTGAGCTTCAACCCATCAAAGAGCTAGAACCACTAAATGTGTACAGTCTCAAGGGCGATGTGTCAAGAAAGACGGTGCTGCCTTTCGCCACGATGGCTGCCCTGGCTGCTGCTGAGCGATCTGCACAGCCCTTTTGAGTCTTTGAGTCTGTTGCGGTCCGATCCTTTCAAGGGACCGGATCCAGATTTCGACGGCAAAAATGAAGCTGGAGGGGCAATTGGGTAGTAGATGGTAACAGCATGTAACAGCAACATCTGAGAGTACTTTGACTCCATACTGCACGCCTGGAACGAGGGGTAGATAGTCCAGTACCGGTATGGGGAGACTTCAATTTCAACTCTTCACTTTTTTTGAATGTTCCAACAAGCATAATCTGAGGTGTTTATGTCATGATCAATGATGATCGATTCCTGACTTTTCTAATTGTCCATGATAGCATCATCTAGCGGCTAGACCAGATGCGGCCAACTTCACATCCCGGCTGATTGTCAATTGCTTCCCAGGTCGGCAGCGATGTGGCCAATGGCTGGCTTTTCGTGCGAAGACCCACCGAGGAGATGTTCTTTACATGATGAGCGATGACCTCCAACCTAGAAGCGATGGCCTCCAACCTGGTAGCAATGGCCTCCAACCTAAGAGCGATGTACTAGCGATGGCCTCCAACCTAAGAGCCATCACCTCCAACCTACTAGCTATGGCCTCCAACCTACTAGGGATGGCCTCCAACCTAAGAGCAATGGCCTCCAACCTAGTAGCGATGGCCTCCAAA